TTCAAAGCCCCAGAGTACTATCCTACTGGAGACTTTAAGAAGAAAGCTAGAACCATTACTCTTCCATTCTAAGGGATCTTCACAAAATAATTTTGGCAATCATACCAAACAAAGCTTCCTGTGTTGCTAAAAGATAGCTTTGCCTTGGTAGTCACTTACTAAGCCAGCTTGCATCTTTTATGGATGCATGATGTGGTGCAATAGTACATCCAAAGTAATTTCAGTGACACAGATGATTCATTTTCCCAATTTCACCAGTATACAAACCAAATAAGCTTGACTAAAAGTGGTAAGAAAAGCAAAATCCAGAATACTTCCGAGGTTATGTGCATTTAAACATGTTTCTCCATTAAATCATTAACTCAAATAGAAAATAACCAGTGAATGATGCTTTTAGTTAGCGTGTTAGCAATATCACCACTTTTGTGTCAGTCAACCATCCCCCACCAAGAAAAAAGTCAGAACTAAAGAGAAAAGAAACAGTTAAGCTGTTCTTTATTGAAGAGTCATCAGAAACTTCAAGCTGACCATGGAAAAAAGCCCCAACCTCAGAATCACAGAGAATTGGCTACCACCAGTGTAACTACAGAAATGATTGCACATCACCAGCCCCAGGAACTCATAAGGTGCCCAAATGAGGGAGAACTAAGCAGGTTTTTTTTTACGCACCACACATCCACCTGATGCTTGATTATCTGTCTGGGAAGGAAAAAAATATATTTACAGTTGTCCATAAAGAACTAGCATCCTTTCTCAGTCTCAGGGAGTTCGTAGTTTTCAGATTGAACAGAAGCATTACACATACTTCCAGAATACAGCAACTCATCTACTAGGAGATAGCGTTGAAACTAAAAGCCTAGTGAAAACTAAGTCAAGCACTCCATGTTAAAACAAAATCCTTGTCCTGTAAGAGAAGCAAAGCAACAGCAACAATACTTATGAGTTTCAGAAGAGCACTCAAAGCTGAGAAGTTGTGGTATCTTGGCACACCACATTGGAAGGGCAGGTGAAACTGGCTAACATCAAAATTCACATATCTTGACAGCATGAGCTTTCGGCAGCCACCTCCCTGTTTCAGCAAGGCAACTGATACAAAAGGCAAACAGCTGCTTGTTTTTAGCCAATACAGAAATTATTTAGCTATTTCAACATCTCCCTGTCCCTTCCCCTGGATAGTTACATTGCCCATTGTGCCAGGGTTTTGGGGGAAGGAGGAAAGGACAAGCATGCTAGAAGAAAGCCTGTTGAATTAATGGAACAGCACAGTATAGAGCCACAACACAAACCTGGAAGGTACTGAGCAACCTAGGACAGAGTTTAGACCATGTCTGCGCTTAGTAACAGCTGCTCTGTGTGGTCCCAGGTAAACCTCACCCAACCTGATGCCATTGTAGTGTTAGGACACCTATAGCAGTACTTTAAACCAGCAAATGAGGAGTTGTAAAATATAGTTGCTTACCTGTTTAAATTGCTTGTAGATTACTTTGCTGACTTCATCAGAAGGCTGAACTTTTCCAGCAAGCAGTGAAGAAAGCATGTTACCCAGGGTAACCATGCCCAAAATCACCCTGGGGAAGGGGAGAGAGAAGATAGGGATAAGCAACACAAAAGCCTCAGGTGTTCCTGTAGATAAAAGCAACCACTCTCAGCCAGCCTGGAGAAGTCAGTTCCACTGCCTCATGAAATGAAGCAACATTATTGATAGTATATTTGGATTCTGTGCCTCTGCAGGAGACACACAGAAATCAGCAGGTGCCCTGGGTGTCTGGCCCTTCTGAGCATTAGGACATTTTGTATCTCCAGTTCTTGCAACTGAGAGAGCTTTTGAAAAGCACAGCTTCATTGTTTTACACCCTCATCTGTCCTTTTGAAAGCTGTAACAGAGCCAGAGACATACTTGTCTCAATTCTGCTCATTTCCCTTCCGACAAGGACACTGCAAGGATCTGCAACAATTAATCCCTTGAGCTAGCACTGTAACTACAGAGTAACTGAGCAGCTCCTCATTATTCAGCCTGTCCCACAGGAGCCCCACAAGGTAATAAGGCATACCAGCTTGCTGGAGACACCCTAGTTCATAGTGGTCACTAAAACATTGCACTATAATGCAGTGTTCCAAAGAAACTGGGTGAAAGTTGTGGTGCAGATGAGTAGGTTTGGGGCTGTTCATTTTAAATATGGAATTTTTGCTTTGTTAAGTTAAGCAGCTATTATAAAAAACAATGAAATTATTCTGAAGAGACACATTAAGTATGGAGTAATAATTATTAGATGCTTATTATGTAAAGAGCAGGACAGTCCTGGCACGACAGTGTATTAAGTCCAGCATTGGTGCATTTAAACTGACATTTCTGAACTGTGTTACTTTAACAGAAGATAGATGAGCAAGAGGAGAATATTATTCTAGTAAGCATTTAAAATACATTCCCTGGGACCTGTGAAGGGAAGTGATACGTATGGATGAATAGTGATATATGTAGACATACCCAGATTCATCAACAACTGGTACCTGGTCGAATCCCTTCTCCCGGAGAATTTCAACAGTTTTTGCACAGGTAACAGTTGGAAGCACAGTGAGGGGAGCAGAGAGGCTTAGTTCCTGAACACTGATGTTCCACCACCTGGGGATGACATAAAAACCAAACCCATGCAAGTCTTATTGAGAGAACAGAACCAGTTGATCATGTACAGTGGCCTTCAACAGTACAGGAATGAAAATCAGAGAGTCACTGAAGTGTGAGAAATCTTTAAGACTGAAACTTTTCCTCATTTCTTCTACTTTCCAAGGTTACAGATAGTTAGTGGAAAGTACTAATCTCCCTAGCTTCATTATTTTTATCTTACAAAGAAAATGTGCTTCTACTCAAAGAGCTAGCCATATTTACAGTCATTATAGGTAGCAATTTAGGGAAGATCCCCTTTCACCTATGTAGACTTACAGTGCTTTGCACTCAAGAGCTCTGATCTCAGAAAGGTTCTCTGCAAACTACTTTCTTATTTCAGATATAACCCATTTCAGAAAAAAACCCCAAAACGTTAAGTACCAAGTTTTCTTCTGCTGTCATGCAACTCAAAGAAGGATATCAACTCATTTAAGTAGATTTGATTAATAGCTGCAATTATGCATCAACACAATAGCATGAAAGCTAAGCTAAATCAAGGGAAGCAGTGTAAATTGAAACGAGCTTTAAATTAACAACTGCCATAAAGTTGATTGAATAGACTCATAAAAATCCAAACGGATCTGACACTTACCAAGGTTTTTTGACAAGGTCTTCTTCTTTCATGAACCCTTTCTGAATCATCCATTTGTCACTCAAGAACTTAGACCTAGAAAGCATGAGGAAGTGCAGAGCTCACTAGCAGGCTGAACATCTGACAGTACACCTAGTAGCACACAGAGACAACTCTTTACAGCTCACTACCACTAACAACTAAAACATACAGTCATTTGCCATCCAAGCTTATCAGCCAGGGGCATTAAGAAGTATTCATAGGAAGAAAAAGGAATCCCATAGGAAATAGTTTCAACTGCATCAGTTCCTTGCGATACAATAGAGACACAGCTTGGAATGGAGAAGTGCCAACCTGTACTCAGGTGAGGTCTGTCTGCAGTTTCTAATCACAGAATCACAGTCGTCTAGTACTGTGTTGGATGCAACAGAAGTCAGGAAACACAGCTAAAAACATCACGTTTTGGGATATGTTTCAATGCAGTAGGAGAGAAGCTTCTCAGCACAGGTCAAAGCCCTCACACTTCCACCTATGAACTCACCCCAACACCAGCTGCTGCTACAGTAGTGCTGTGTTCTGCTGTGGACATAGGCAGAGAGAGCAGGCAGACTTACAGGCACCCTTCCAGGAACAGGGTAATACCAATGGTCCCTCAGTAAATAGAACTGTGAAAGCAAGTCTTTTCTTGTGAAAGATGCTAACCAGTGATGGTTATATACCGAAGTCAGACACAAGGAGGAGCTCATCTTCCAGAGAGCTAAGCTCCTTTCTACTCCATGTAAGATCCTTTCTAGATACCTCAGAAGTTGTGCCCCAAACATTCCTTGCCTGGGTAACTGGGTGCTATAAGCAATATGTATTCAGCTTGCCACTGCTATAAGGAGATCTGAGGCACTGCCTCACCCTTTTCCCAGAGAGAAAACAAGCAGGTTCTTACATGTAGTTCCTGATAGAGTCAGGGAGCATAACAACACAGCGCTGACCTTCCTTCAGCTCTTTGGCTGCCTTCACAGCTACAGACATGGCACTGCCTGAGCTGCCACCTGCCAAAATGCAGATCAGAGGCAAAACTGTCAAACCATAAGTTAAATGAGAAAGAATGAAAGAGAGGAAGAGAACAGTAGAGGTCCAGGGTGAGAAAGACAACTTGTGCAGATCAGGGAGACCTCCTTCCACTTCAGAAGGCTTCAGCCTCCCACATACTATTCAGAGAAACCCAAAGGATTCACATTTGCTCTTACCACACAGCAGTCCTTCCTCTCGGATCATCATGCGTGCTAAAGCAAATGACTCCTCATCATTGCTCTTGTACCACTGGTCCACTGTCTGGGAAGGGGCAGGAAGACAGAAACAAGTGTCTATTTAAACGAGGAGGGCTAAGGGAACTACACAACTGGTGTTGCCCTGCTGAGCCACATGCCTGGGTTTCCATTCTCCAAATGCCAGGTGAATTGTTTTTTGGGGTTTGGGGGTTTTTTTGGTTTTGTTCTGCCAGGGTAAGATGATCACACAGCACAACAGGCTCCTTATTGAAACCTCTCTGTGAAACCAGGCTGTTGCGAGGCAGCCACACAGAGCAAACATTTTCCTCTCCTCTTGGGAGGGCTTCCCGGACACAGGCTCTGCTCAGGATATAGTCATGCCACTTCTGGCCAGGATGGGACCGGGTGCTTTGTTGGTTTGGGGGCTTGGTTTTTTTGATTGGTAGGTTGGAGGGTGGGGTTTTTTTGTTTTGGGTTGGTTTGGTTTTGGTTTGTTGTTGTGTTTTGTTTTGGTTTGTTGTTGTGTTTTTTTTAGAAAAAGTATTGTGTTCTAAGAGAATGTTATTTGCTCACAGCATTTCCACCTAGCATTGCAGAATTAATGTGGCCAGTGCAGAAGCCTGCTTTTGCTGATGGAAAGAACACAAATATTTCTGTCTGCTAACCCTCCTCTTTTAGCTCAAAAAAATACTTCCTCATGTTTTTCCTCCACCTTTCACCTCACTTCTCCATCCCAATAGAGGACAAAGGTCATTAAACCAAGAAGCATGACTTACAGATCTATCCAACACTGTGGGGACAAAATCATATCCAATTCCTTCCACTTCATACATTGTCTTGTCAGTCTTGTTCAATTCTTCTGGTGCAGCAAGGATGGAGCCTTCAGGATCAACACCTATAATCTGGAGAAGTGGTTTCCACTTTGGTTACCATGGCACACTGCTTTTGAGAACACAGCTATTTGGTCAGGAGCACTGGCCTCATTACAGCTGTTGGTGTCACACTGGCACACAGAGCCAAGCTGACAGCAACCTAATCTCCTATTCATTTCTTCCTGTCAACATTCACCTTCCCTGTGAGCAAAATGCTTTACTGCTTCTGGCCCCTTGGCAACCTATCTTGTCTCCTCAGGCTGTGGACACTAACTGAGGGGCACCCCTTGTTCTACATGGGTTTTGCTCAGTTTAAACAGAAGACAGGGTTTTCTTGAGGGAAGATTGTCCTCACTCACATGTCAGGCACCATTACAGCCAATACATATTGCAATAAGTGTAAGCAGGTAAGTTTTCTTTTGTTTACCACTCCCTGTGCGTGTAGGAAACTATTCACAGTTGAAACACAGTACCAACAGCACACAGGCTGGTGTGTGCAGAGAAAATTTCATTGGGTAAAGCCTCAGCAGCTCCAGACAAGTTAGTGAAGGCACAGTCAGAGAGGAAACACAAGGCTGCAGTACACATCAGAGAAATAAGTTTCTCAGACACCCCATGAAGGGAGCTGAGAGCCAGTTTTCATCTGCTGAGCCAAACTTGAACTCTGGTCACCAGTGAGACCAGAGCATGACTATTTCATACAGTCTGAAAACCCTTCCTAGCTGCTCAGAACTACCTTCTAACTGACAGCCTTGAAGAATTTCCCATAGAGACCCAGGGCAGGCTTGCAACAAATGGGACATGCCAAGTGGAGCAGTTTGAGGTCCACCCTGCTAAAGAGAAATGCTTTAGGCTTGCCACTTACTTTGCAACCTGGACACTTCTCCTTTAGCTTTCTGGAGATGCCAGTGATAGTACCTCCCGTGCCAGCTGTAGCCACCAGCATGTCTATTTTTCCTGTTAAAAGGTGAGGGATAGAAGGCAGTTGTGAAAACTCCCCGAATGGTGGATTAAAAACCCACTTAAACCTAAATGTGGACTTTTTTCAACAAAAATGCAGAAAGTAGGAGAAAAGGGCAAGATAAGGTACTTTGGACACATCTGGAGGTGGCCCATAGAGCTGACACTTGTAGTTTTGCTGTTACTGTATTTGCTGGCACAGATAATTCATCATGTAACTTAAAATAAGCAGCCCATTATATTAATTTACTGAATGAGTGCCAAGGGCATCAGATAGGCATCCACTGAGAGAACTGTTAACACAACTACTCTCATCTTCATGTGAAAGACTGTTTTGGTCACTAGCACTCAGAGTAAGTGCAGGTATGATAGCTCATCCTTTTGCCACCACTTACAGTCTCCCTGGTGCATCCACAGGACAGCTTTGTTAGTTAAAAAAACCAAAACAACCCAACATTTTTAAAAGGTCACTAATTCATACACAAAAACAAATGCTTACGAGTCAAAAGAATAACACCCCAGCAAGCAGAGATAACTGAACAGTGTCAGGACCATGAGGAAAAGTAAATACAAGCAAGAAGCCTAAAGCTAGAGCTCACCTAGACTCTCAGTTTGTGGGAGAGCAGCTTGTTAGAGTATACTCATTTTAACTCAAACTTCAAGAAAGTTTGTCACAGAAAGACAAGCCAAACCCAATCCTCTGAACAGCTAGTTACTTTTAGGGGGGAGGAAGAGAACCTTTCACATGGTCCTCACCTTAATGAGGGAATTTAACAGCAGATTTTCTTATTAGAGGGTCCCACCAGAAACTGTACTGTTTTATAAGGCAGGTCAGTAGCCTTCTCTATGACTTCCTTCTACCATCTGTAGCAAGTACCTACACAGTAGACTGCAGGATCACATTTAATGCCTCCAACAGCTCTCAAATCAATTCCTTAGCTGAGTGAGTCCAGCTAAAGCCCTCTGCTGCCACAACTCAGTCACTTCTGGTACTCCAAGGTGGCTGCCTAGAGCTAATACAGAAGCAACTCCTGCAAAGTGAAGAGGTCTTACTGGTAACAACTGTAACACAGAGCACTTTGTACTCACAAGGACTGCCAAGTGAGGAAGCTTCCAGTGTACTGAAGTATTTGGTATGAGGATGTAAAAATACCTATTTCTGTATTTGTGATCAAAGAAAAATGACCCTATTCTTTCATGTCAGTCTACTTATGGCTTTTTTTTTTTTTTTTAGAGATAATTTAAGCATCACTGCTTTCTCTACCTAATCACAAGCAGAGGAGTCTGAAAACCAAAGCATCCTGCTTTAATGGAACAGAAAAATCATTACTACAATTACCAAAATAAGGTACTTCTCTAATGACACACAGCGTACGTATGGGATTTGCTGTATCAAAATCCATGCATTTCTCATCCACTTCAGGTCCCAGTCTCCGAGAGCCTAACAATAAAAGGCTACTAGGGACTCACTGAAAAGGGCATTAGCAGTAGAGAAACATACCTTCACATTGCTGCAGGATCTCTTCAGCTGTGGTGTCATAGTGTGTCAGGGGGTTGCTGGCATTACGGTACTTTATTGAAAGACAGAATAGCCATTAAGTAGACCAGAAAGACAAAATTCACATTGTGAGGCACTTCAAGAACATGACAAACACCCTCCAAGCCCCACAACAGCTATGTATACTCCTTCCAGACTGTTTCCTTCATCTATTTTCTGGACCTATGCAGAATGCTCAAGGGGAGATACAACCTTCCTAAGTGACCTAGTTTAAGAGTAGTTCTAAGGTGCCAGCACCATCCAATGCAAAGATCAGTCCTCTCTGTGGGACAGTTTCCCTCAGGAACATGACCCTGGCACCCATTCTTCCACACAGGAGTACCAATTCAGTGCAAAAAGCCACCCACATGTTCTGCAGTTTCTGTGAACATACAGGCTCGTTGCTGTCCTCTAGTGACCATAAAAACTTGATACCCTACAGCATGGTGATTGCTCAACTTCAGCTCCAGACCTGGGACAGCTTCTCCTTCAGAAACACATGTAGGGTGTTGAACAGTCAGCTAAGGACACTAAGGAATAAGGCTGCAATACCTCCTCCCATGCTATGCCTGCACCTCTGACACCTTGGCTCTTACCTGGTCCAGTATGTGTGAATTGGGGATTTCATTTTTCAGTCTCCATGCTACTCCCACGTGAGATTCAGGAGAATCAAATCTGGCAGTAGTTGGTGTCCTCACAATCTCAGCACCCAGAGCTCTCAGGACATCCACCTGTAACAAACAAAGGTGGTCACAAAACCCTAAAACACTCTCCCAGCACAGAGACTTAATTAGGATGCGGGGGAAATTAAACATCTTCCATTTCACCTGGCCTGCAACACCCTCCTTAGCAGTTCTAAATCCCAACCTCACATCACCAAGCCATGAGTCCAAATCCTTAAAGTAATTTGATCTTAATTGAGCTCTGCCTGGGAGCTAGATGTGAAATTCCTGTTTTGATTCTAGGCCTTTAAGGACTATTACTACATATTGAGAAGCCTCATTCAGGTAAAACACCATCTCCTTTCATGCCAGTCACATATGCTCTGCACTCCAACAGTGCTATAACCCAGTATTTTATGTTTAAGTGTAAATTATGTATATTTACCTTGTCCTTTGGACACAGGCAGCAAAGGAGGTACTCCATGGGCCTGTGCATCACTCAACTGCTGTGAGGGCAAGAAGGCTTATGACACTGAGCTAAGGCAAGGCCTGTCTTCAGAGGGGAGGGACATCTTTGGTGCTGCATGGCACATGGCAATGCCCACGTAGCACCTCTCCCTCCAGAGCTGGTTAGAGAAAGTAACGGGTACAGGCCTTCAGGGGATGTTGTTCTAATTTGTGCTGCTGCCCTTCAGTTGGAACACTGGAAACATCTGAACTAAGTGGTTTTGCTGAACATGATTTGCTGCCTCAACTGTGAAACATGGGGGTATGTCTCCTCTTTTGGCTCCAGCTGCAGCACCACCCTACTGGAACACAGGACAGGGCTTGCTCTAGAGCTGGATGTTTTGTACTTTCCACATTGAAGGTAAGCGGACATAACCAGGCAGCTTTTCCTTCCCCTTTGTTGTGGTGACACAACTCAAATACTTGCCAGAACTCCTCAGTGTAACCTGCCTCGAGTTCCCTTGACATTCGTCTTTAAAACAGTTCTGACAGTTTTTCCAGTGACATTGCTGTGGGGATCAGTCTTAAAGATGTTTTCCATCCATGGCTAGCCAGCCTGGATTTCTTCAGGTACTGGCAACAGCCCCTCAGCAGGGTTCTGCCTGGCCAGTGACTTGGAGGCCAAGAGCCTACACCACTGCTAAAATCACAGCACTCATCTGCACCAGGAACTCTGCGAGTGCAACCATGCTCATTTTCAAATTCTTGAAAATAAAAGCAGATCTGACCTTTTCCATGCTCATTTTCTCTGGCATCACAATGATACAGCGGTAACCCTTCACTGCTGCAGCCAAGGCCAGCCCAATTCCTGGAAGCAAGCAAAGACACGTAGAGCACACAATGAGGAGCAACAAAGACCAAAAACCACAATGCTAGCTTTGGCATGCCCTGGCTTTAATCAGATTTTCACTAGAGGCTTGAGTACAGTGTCTCTAGAAGGGTGGCAAAGGGAACGTTTCTGGCTACCGGAGAGAACCAGATTTACAGATGCTGCTAATTCTTGGAGGATGACAGTCAATAGCAAGTTTAGCTAAGGGTGGAGAAACTTGACATGTGTAAACTGCTAGCTTTACCACACACAAATCACATTCCTCCTGTCTCACCCACTTCATTTTTACAGAAGTAATTTGGGAAAGGAATGAGCTTTAAGGTAAAGAAGACTAGAGCAATCGTTTCCATACCACCAGAAGAACATTAGAGCCTCTATTGGCTCACTTCTGCATTAAATCCCTAGCTTGCAATGTGCCAAAACCAAGCCCTTTTCTAAAAAGATGTTACTTAGACGCCGTGTGATTGAGGTTCTAATGCATTATGTCAACTTGCTACCACAGTGAAGTGCCTTAACTCTAAGAAACAGACACCTCATTTATACTTTAAAAATCTGCACCTCTAGCCTGATTTCTGCCTTCCAGCTTGTCATCGTCTGCCTACCTGAAGAGCTAAGTTCAGAAGTCCCTTCTGCATAGAAGAGAGGCTTACACCTGCTATCAAATCACCTCTCTGCTGGATAAGCTAAACAGATCAAAGTTAGTTGATATGTGTTTGAGGTCAGACTGCATGGCACCTTCCCTGCTGTTTTTGGTGCCAGGCACAGTACCAACACGTGCCCATGACAATGCCTCACAGACAGTTTATCCTACACAGAGGCTTGCTTGTTCAAAGCTGGCTCTGTTTCTACATGGCACTGGATTGCATAGAGGTAAAAAAAAAAAATTCTTTAACTGTTCCTGTAAGAGCATAACTCACACCTGGAGTAATTCAAGTACCGTTTAAATATTTGTGAAGGGAAAAAAAAACAACAACAACAAAAAAACCACACCAAAACAAAACAAAAAAACACCACCCACAACACAAAAAACTGACTTTTCCCAGTATATTATAGAGAAATACGGATGCCCAACCAAAAAAAAAAAAAAAAAAAAAAAAAAAAAAAGACAGTAAAGGCCTCACTAAGGCCAAAGAGTGAAGAGAAGCCATTTAGCACTCTCCCTTATGGTCCGTGGTGAAGAAAGCATTTTGAGACCTGAAATCTAACACTTCATACTTTCTGCTACTGACCTGGAAATGCAGCAAACATCAAAAGAGGACCTTGGCTGAGGAAGAAGTGGGATGCAGAGAAGAAAAAAAAATATAACACATTAGCTCTCCTATCTAACATACTCAGTAGCTCCGAGCAGTAGCCTGGAAGAAATGCCAATTCTCTCATTTTACTGTCTGCCCTAATCTTTGTTTTCACATTAAAAGAGTCAGCTTTCTGAAGTAATTGTCCTGTATCTCCTTCAATTCTGCCTTCTTTTTATCTTTTGGATTCTGTAGTAAGGAGAATAACTTATAAGGTAGTGACTCAGAAAGCAGGACCTCATATACTGGAGGAATGCAATATATATGTGCATATTTCCCACTACATGCCATTGCTCAGGTAAGAGGTACAGCCACAGTCACAAGAGCTTCAGTTGCACTGAACCCCCCACAGAGCAGCTGCTGAGCAAACAGCAACAGATATGACTTCTCAGTTTTCTGATGAAGGCTGGGAGCTCATCATCCTAGTCCCTCAATTAATAAAGGCTAAACTGGATCAAAAGAACAAAAGAAAGATCTGCCTGGCCTGTATCTATCAGAAGGCAACAGTGGACGGATGCCCAGGAAAGTTTAAGAACAGGACAAGGCACCTCTCCCAAACACATCAGGCAGGGAAGTAGCTTGTAGCTCAGCTGAGGAACTGCTCAGAGGAGCAGTGTATTTTATATTTAACCAGCTATATTTTATATTTAATTCCTCCTCAGAGGATGCAGTGAATTTTATATTTAACTAGCTCAAGGGGGAACATTCCAGGTATGTGTATTCACCACCAGTAGAGCAGCTTAACAGAAGTACAACAGCTGTGACACAGGAGCCCCGAGTTAACTCCAGTCTGCTCAGATCAACTGATGCTCTGCCCTGGCCCCTGAGTAGTGGGACTGTTCCTTCCTCCACCCCTCCAAGGAACAGATGCTGACTCAAGTGGAATCTGTTGGAAATCTGGGTGCACAAGGGCTGTGTTAGCAGAGAGTGCTGTAGGGATGCAGCTTATCTCCCATTTCAGCGGCACCACATGGGAAAGGCTGTTTGTCAAACCAGGCCCACACCACATGACAGAGCATAGGAAAGAGGACCATGGGACTTCCCCAACAGAAGGTGAAGATCCAGATTCACACCTGTCTTTTGGTGCTTGATTTCCAATAATTTCAGTCATACTTTAATTCCTGACTAGGACCCAAAGACCCTGGTGAATGTGGCCTAACACTTCCTTTCTTTTAAAGCAAAGAGCCCCTGCAAGTTTAGCAGATCCCCTTCCCAGCTGTTCTGGTCAGCACAGGACGCTGCAGAATTGTTCCTTGTGCGAGATGGAAGAGGCACTGCTCCCTACACCATGCAGGCAGGAAGGGATCCTCTTTCTTCCTTGCAGTCTTCATGCTCCAATCTCGTCTGTCTCTTCCAGGAAAACCACGGCACTTTCCCCCCACACTTTGCCAGGGTCTCTCCATCCCCTACCTGTGTTTCCAGAGGTTGGCTCTATGATTGTGTCCCCAGGTTTCAAGATCCCAGCCTTCTCAGCATCCTCTACCATCCTCAGGCTGATGCGGTCCTTCACACTGCCCCCAGCATTGAAGTACTCACATTTTACCACTGGAAACAAAGAAACCAGAGACCTCAAACAGCAGTCATTTTGCTAAACATGCTGCTGATCCCCAGTGTATCTGCAAGAGCAACTGTGTTAACATGTCTGCCCAATCCACCTTCCTACTTTACAGCACCAGAGATGGTGATTCAGCTCACAGCATCTCCACTGTTACGGGTTGCAACAACACAGCAGGTTTATTACTTGATGCTGGCCACAGAAGCCGGGAACCCATACTCTCTCAGTCTCCTCAAAATATGATCTCTCCTTTCACCTTTCCTCTTTATTACAGCCCAGTCATTAGTATAAAAAGGGACAGCAGCATGGAGGAAGAGAACTCTACCAACACGCCTTTTCTTTTCTCTGCTGCATTCTCCAGCCAAAGAGTTTCTGATCAAACCGGAAGTTTCTTCCCTTGTTCAGGCTACACTTTCACTTCAGTACTCTCAGCATTAATCCCTTCAATGGTGTTAAACACCACCTTTCAAGACTCTGATCAGAGCCTCCAGATCATCTCCAATATGGTTGGGTTAAAAAAAAACCCCACAAACCAAACAAAAAAACCATTCACTGACAGTTTTATCCAGTTTATTCACAATTTTCAGCGATCTTTAGTGGTAACTGCATATCTGCATTTTACACCCACCAATGAATATTCTGAATATGAGAAGCAACCTGTATGAAGAAAAACTTCATACAGCTTTTTAAAAATTAAAACATTACTTTTCCATGAAAGGGTTTACTTTTTCTACAAAAATGGAAAAGCTGCAGGAAACATCCTCATGAAGTGCAAATTGAAAGATGTTTTAGATTATGAAATCCCAAAAACCTGAAAATTTGCCAAAGAAAAAGAGGAATTTTCCTCATCATTTTCTGCAGGGTACATGCATTCCTCCTACACCCAGGTTACGTGACACTACTAACCAGGACTACCCAAGTTTCTGGAACTGTATTTCTTCTTTTGATTTTCTGCCTGCAGCAGTACTCACAGAGTTCACATTTGAGCCCATACTTCTTCCCAATCTTGTTGATTCGCACTAATGGTGTATTGCCAACTTTATTCAGGATGTTTGGCAGGATTTTCGGAGGCTCTGGCCTGGTATATATATATACAAAAAAAGTCAGTGTATTCACAGAAGGGTCCACAGCCAGGTTACACAAAAGTAATACAGCATTTCTGATACTTTTAATTTCAACCAGCTTTCTCCCTCCCCTTTATCAGGCTAGTTATTTTAAATATTTTGGTTTAAAAGAATGTCCCTTGGATACAAATTCACAAAACATCAAGCCCTTGATCCAAAACAAGTCAAGTGCTGAGGCAAGAATGGAGTGCTCTGCACTTCCTCCTGGCATGAAGTAGCTTAGCACTGCTCGGAGTCAGCTATTTTACAAACAAAAGGCATTAACAGTGCAGTCTTTCATCTAGTCAGGAAACTGTTTGCCAGGTTACTTAAAATAAGTTAATTTCAGTCCACGTAGTTTCACATCTTTGGTGCAAGGCCCCTTATGGGCTTAATCTGTGTTCTTAGCTTTGCTTATACATGGAAATTAAGAAGCACCAGCACATCTACACGCTGAACAGCACCAATTTAAAATCAGTCACCTTTTGTTAAATCCACATGGCTCTGAGGGAACTTTGATTAGTACTATACTGAAAATCAGCAAATAAAAAGTGATACTTACAGAGTGGTATGACGATGTGGGGAAGCAGAGAGGGGTTTCCCAAGCTTCCACGTGCATTTGCTAGGTGTATCAGGGCGGATCCACATCCTTTCCTTCTCATTAGCCTTGCAGTTCCCATTGTCCTTTTCACCAGGGAGAAAATATTTGCCAGGTGCTTGAGAGCATGAGTTCCTATCTTGCTTCTTCTGGCAAGGATGTGTAGGTACTTCATCCTTGGGGTGGGGGGAGGGAGTGGTGAGAAGATAAAGAGTAAAAAAACCAAACCCACAAGTGAGAGAGAGATTTGCATGCCCTGCTGTAACAAGGTCAGAGCATCTTTTGAGACTGACAAAGTTAGAGTTCTGCAACATAGGAAACCACCCATTCACATCATTGCCCCCCCCCCCCTCAAAAGCTAAAAATCATGTCACTATTAAGTCCTTATTCTTGTCTCTCTCCCTTCACCAACATATCTATTTCCAGTCTAGTGTTTCAACATGCAGTTATTCTGAGGGAAGCCTGAACAGAAACCACTCTGGTGGCAATTTTCAAGAGAGCAATATTGCCTGTAAACCAAACAGGGTAATGGCAACAAGTAGCTTTTAACACCCAAGAACAGGTTCTGCCACTGACTACAGGAGATCCTGTCACTATATCTAAGACCCAGTTACTAGGGGAGAGAGCATAGTATGTCTCAGTTAGACACATCCCATCCTCAGGTATCCCAGTTTTCCCCTTCTATGAAAAAGGTCACAACAAATGGATATTTTAATGGTCAGTTGATGTTTCTATAGTACTGTGAAGAAAGGAAAGCACTTCAGCATAACTCTGATTTGCCACATCCTTATCACCAAAAGGAGAATCTTGCAGTGCAATGCTGAGCGCAAAAGCTCAATGCAGTGCCCTACAAGAAGATAACTTAAACACACAGAAGCATATGCTTACTGTAACCAGCCTCCATAAATAACAAGAAAATTGGATTGTTTTCATGGGAGATATCCCTCCCACAACAAAAAAAAAAAAGCTCTCTGAAATAAAACTTCCCCATTCCAAGCACAGAGGAAAAGAGTAAGACTACTTGGCGACTAATTAGAAAATGGCACCAAAAGACTCTACGTTGCTACTTGTGGTCAGAAAGAAGAACTCTTCCAGAAAGGTGACCACTTTCAATAGCACCTGCCTCCATAGTGTTCCAGAAAAAACCTAGAAAACCCTCTGAAAACAGATAGGGCTCTCCCAAATTCTGGTGACAGAAAGACAGGCAAACAGTATTCCCCAAAGACCAATAAGTACCTTAGACACAGGAACAGGCCTTTCCAATATCAACTTCTCCATGTTCTTTGGAGAAGGCGATGGCACAGTAGACTGGATTATCTTCAGGAGACTGAGTACTGTGGGTCACGAGACTGGAATCCTCTTCCAAGCTACAGATCATACAAATTAGAAAAAAAAAAACAAACCAAAAACAAAACAACAACACTATCAGGAAACAGTCTCATTAGGGCAAGACACACATCCCACTTTCACAGGGAAAAAAGAAGCTGCAAGACAAAGTGAAGATGACTTGTATAAAGAGGATAAAAAAATAAATAAATCATGCAGCAAAGGTATTGCACAAGACCATTGGAGGGTCTCCTGACCCTGTTCTTCCTGCATTACCTAATCTTCCCTCTGCAGCTCAGATCCAGTAAGGTAAGCAGAAAACATCTCTCTCTATTGGACTGTCTGCAATTCCATAAGCTTGAAAGCTACACAAAGTACTAGAAAAGTTCACAGGATATATACTTCTAAAGACACCAAGTGTGAAAGGGTGTCGTGGTCCCATCATCAAAAGACCCTGTACACAACTTAGGAAAAGGTTTTATACAGGAACACTTGCAGGGCCTTCTCTACCCTTGAGAGGTCAAAACCTCACAAGTTCCTACCCGAACTAGTGTTACATGCACAACTGCAGTGATGCTCGATATAACACACACAGCAAACACTTCAACCTCGAGGAAGCAAGGAAGCAGGCTTTTTGTTTCAGAAATCAGTAAATATAAAATGGAAGCAGTAAGTTCATTTCTCCTACTCCAGCCAGTTGTTTATAAAGCCTGCCTGATTGCTTTCCATTGAAGACAAAAAATCTGGCTGAAGTCTTGGAAAGTGTGGGTTGGTTGGTTGTTTTTTTTTCCCCTAACATTTGTTTTTCTCATCACCATTTTGCAGTAATATTCAGCTCTTTCCATTACTGAACGGTGCTAGACCTGGAAAGACTCCCTGGCCTCACCCTCCTTCTTCTGACAAATGCACACAAAACAGATAGAGCTTAGATCAGGCAGAGCTGATGATCTGGTGCCACACTGGAAAAAAAATCCAAATCACAAGATCAGTGAACTTTAGTATTTGATCCTGCAAGTTAACGTGCACCACTAACCACTAGTGCCTTATGCACAGCAATTCCTTTCTTGCATGCTGATTTGAAGAAAGTGTCTAAGGCATCTAAACTACCCTCCTTTAGGAAAAAAAGCCTCTGAAAGTGACAGATTTCCAGACTAAGGCTTGAAATTATTCTCCTGCTGGATATAAAGACTTCCGTGCCACCAAAATGATACAGTTAGACTTTATTTAAGTTAATACATGCCCAAGAGTCAAGATGGACGACATCCTGTCCTAGACTGACCGTGACTAAACTGAGGGACATCACAATACACATAATCTAAAACTAATCAGTCTTTGTTACCAGAAATTAGCTTACTTACAGTTCCAGAGCAAAACCCAGCTTTCACGTCTATTTCTAGAAGGTACTTGGTTCACAGTTCAGAATATCAGTACTTTTTTTTAGAAAAAAAAAAAAATACTGAAGAAGTTTCAGCTCTTCTATGAGCCACTCCACATGCTCCTACAGACAGCTAGCACGCAATACTGGACATAGACACTGACAGCCTCTGCTTCCAGGTAACACTGACAATATCTACAAAAGGGTACCTTGCTGCCCAAGGATCAAATCATTTCAACATGCAGGAAGAAAATAGAAGGGATTATAGACAGGAAAAAGCAGATTTTGTCCATCTTCCAGGTTCTCATAAAATAAGACTGCAAAAAGCTTTAAATCACCAGCACTCAGTGTCCTTCAAGAAGGTCCAAAAATTGAGGAGAAAGGGAAAGAAATTTGTTGCAGTAAAAAGTTTGAGGTTTGAAAACACAAGTACTTGTTCTTTGTATTGATTGCAGGAAAGAAATGAATGTGGCTCTCTTCAAAAGCTGCCTTTTGGAGGATTCCCTCCAAACTGGGCAAGACAATGCCATCACATTTCCTCTATTATAAGGCAAAAAAAAAAAATCCACATTCTGCTAACAGCTACACCCATTACCTCTTGAACCAGAAACAGCAGAAACAGAGGAAAAGCTGCATTTATTGCCTTCAAATAAGCTGTGAGATTCTCTCATGTGTTTAGAGGAATTGCAATACTCTGATATTTGATCCAAGCTTCAATAATGGGGCTAGAACTTTGAACAAAAAAAATGAGGACAGAGAGAAAAAACTAACCACAAGCATTGCCCAAAAAATTTTGTCAAATACTAACCTTAAGCAACATCACTCATTGGAAGGAACACAAGCTCCTGTTGAATAAATCCCTTCAAATCAGTTTATTAAGCATTATTTTAAATAACCCTACACCCATCCAGCCCCAGGTAAATAGGTATGCATCTATACATTTATGAAGTCATTTCTAATTATGCTAGTAAATAATTGGTCTCAGCTAATGGTCAAGCTAATATCTTACAGTTTTGAAGAAGGACAAAAATCCTAGGACAGACGTGGTTGCTCCCCAAGGGAGATTGTTACTACAGCACTCAGAGATATAAAAGCAGCTGTGACAGCTTACTGCTACACCTAAGAAAGAGGTCAAGAGCCCAAGAGTGACTTGTAATGTTCAGAACCAACAGGAAGATCTCAGATCTCTGAGCTCCTTCAGCGCTACTGATGAGCTTCCAGACACACCACCCAAAACATCCAGCCAGTGCTTACCATCCTAGATGATGCAACTTCAGAAAAACAGGGGACAGAGATGGTCAGTCCAAATTCCACCCAAGACCTATAACCCTGCCTACAGGCCCAAATCAGGCTATAAGAAGCTGGTGAATCTTTCTACTGTGGAAATCTCTGGGGGACAAAGGGAACAGGAGGAGCAGAAATCACCAAAACAGAGGACAACTTTTTCACTAGCCTGACCCTCTTCTCAATCTTTCTTCTGGAAATGCAGACTGAAGACTGAAGACAGGACAGGAGAATGGAAGAAGTTTTTCACTGTGAGGGTGGTCAGACACTGGAACAGGTTGCCCAAGGAAGTTGTGGATGCCCCCTCCCTGGAAGTGTTTAAGGCCAGGTTGGATGAGGCTTTGAGCAACCTGGTCTAGTGGAAGGTGTCCCTGCTGATGGCACGGGGGTTGGAACTAGATGATCTTTAAGGTCCCTTCCAATCCAAACCATTCTATGACTCTATGAATGGTGATTGCTGCTCCAACTGCAATTGAATGCTGCTCAAAAGAGTGAGGGATGTAAGCTGCAGGAAGAGTTGCCCATCTTCAGGAAAGAAATGCTGTCAGCCCAAATTTAAATTTGCTGTAAAAGGGAACACTCCCATAACTAGCTGGGGGTGTGGGCAGGGTCCAACTAGAAAAGCCTGACTAACTTCTGCCATTATATCTACAGAGCATACGAGGCAGAAACATCCCAAAGACAATTTACAAAGTCACTTAAACCTAAGTCATGAAAGGGACTGGGACATAAGCAGAGGTACGAGATCCAGAAAGCCTCATGGACAAGGCTCGCATCTCTGGATCCATCTCCACAGGGAACCCTAGACCTAAACTATTTTTCAACCCCTGCAGAACAGGACTGAAGGCCAGCAAGTGAAATTAATCCCCAAACAGCCCGAGCTGAACTCGGGACATACACATGTTAGGAGCTACAGTTTCTAAGGCTGTTTACAGTATATGATGTCAGCACTAATGCAGACATTTAAAGAGTATCATGTATGCAAGAACCTAATTAACTTGAGTCTTGTCTGAAGCAGAAATGAAGCTGTCTAAAAAGCAGGTGTAAGAGGTGGATCAGAGAGAGATGCCCCAAGGGCTGACTACTCAGCAAGAGATGAGATACAGGATTCCATTTTGTTGCAGCCTGAGAATGGGAAACTTTGACATTAAGCAGGTACTTTACTCCGTGAACAAGTAAACCACTACAAACCAGTTGTTCTGCTCACTCCAAGTATCACAGGGTCTTGGAGAGCTTTAGGACATTACAGGTTACCAGATACCGCAGCACCCACCCAGTCTTTGGAAGCTGTTGAGAAACACCACAGCTATAAGTGATTCAGAAGACAGTCAGCCATTTGGGTGGGGGGGTTTTTTGGTTTGTTTGGTTTTTTCCTGTGTGTGTGTCCTTGCTACTTCCTTAGTAGCACACAACCATCACTCCCGTGTCAGGAGACATTAAGTGACCTGAAGTAACTGGGGTATGAATTAACAACGCTGTGGCTCTGAGAAAAGATCCTTCAGGAATCAACAGTCATATTTCCATTTTCTCCTACAGAGTAGATGAGCACACACGTGTCCTTTCAATGATCACTCTTTCTTTCAAGGCCAGACTTGACATACTCATAACCTCCCTGATAGAATGGGTGGTTCTTTAATGCCTCCACCTCTGTAACACTGCAAAGGTATTAAAACATCAACAACAAAGCAGCTGCCACCACTAAGGCAATCGTTACGCTACAGATCAGTCAGTGAAAACATGCAAGCATCCATTCTGTCTCCCCCCCACAGAAGGGAAGCTGTGCTTGCAGCCCTAACGCAGGTAGGTGCAGGTGTCTTCCAACACCTGTTTCTCAAGCTCACTCCAACCCTGCCTGGACTCACCTGGTAAGTGTTCTGAGTGAATACTGATACCTTCGAGGAGCACCACAGCATTAGAGAAGAGACCAGAGAATGCCTTATCTGCATTTTTCCCTGCTGTAGTCAGAAGCTTTCATTATTTCTTTCCTTGCTTCTAGTTCCCTCTCCTTAGTCAGCGCACAAAGATGGACCAACACTACAGCCTGAACAGTGCTTCTGATCTGCCAAGCTCACCAAGTACAGGGAGGAAAGCATGACAGGTAGGGTAACAGAGGCTCAGAGATTAAACAAGTTGCCCAGCATGACAAAAAGAGGGAGGTGGAGCTCTGCTCTCAATTTCTGACCAAGTCTACAAAACAGGTAGAAGCACAGCTCCTTTTTCCCAGCATTATGGGCCCCCCCCACAAGGCATCACATCCTTTGCTAGCCCAGGGACCTCTGATAAGGGCTGGCAC